AAAATTAGTAACGAAATGGGATGGACGGTACGGCGCGGAGGCAATGATCGCGAAACCGAATTTCCACAGCCACAGCGTCATCGCGGAGAATCTAATCGCCGTCGAACTGTGCAAACTCGAGGTGAAATTCAACAAGCCGATTTACGTGGGTATGTGCATACTCGACATATCAAAGGTCTGCTTGTACGAATTTCACCACGAGTACATGTCACCGATGTATCGCGACAAATGCAAGATAATGTACACCGACACGGATAGTCTCATTTACCATATAGAATGCGACGATGTTTACTATGAAACGCGATATCGCTAGATTCGACATGAGCGATTATTCGGCGTACAACGAGTACGGTACGCCTCTCGCGAATAAAAAAGTACCCGGTCTGATGAAGGACGAGAACAACGGTGCATTAATGACCGAATTCGTTGGACTCAGAGCGAAGATGTACGCGGTGAGGGTGGACGGCAAGAAGGACACTAAAAAGGCGAAAGGTGTAAAGAGTAACGTCGTAGCGCGAACGATAATGTTCGACGATTACATGCGGTGTTTGAACGAAGAGATCGAAATGACTCGCCATCAATCGTGTATACGCTCTAAATTACACGAGGTATATACGATATCCGAATCGAAAATCGCTCTGAATCCATACGACGACAAACGATACGTCGTACCTGACTCGACGGAGACGTTACCATTGGGGGCATTGGCGGATACCTTTGTAATATATGTAGTATATGTAGTATATATGGTATATGTAGTATATGTAGTATATGTTGCTATTATGTATTACTATTATTTTTACTACTGTTACGTCCAGATTCCACTGTTCTTTTCTTCGAATCTTCGTCATCACCATAAGGGTTATTAACAAGTAACACCAGTAGACCAACTGTATTTGCCATAGGAAGTTTCGATAGCTGCGAGCCGATTAACGTTCGCCCCTTTTTTTCCATTCGGGCACAGTCGTTAAGGATTATAACCGAAACAGCGGTTGTCCTTAATAAATGACAAGTGTGGCTCTATGACTGTCGAACATCCGGCAAATGGTCGATGGCGAAGAATCATCTAAGACACAATCCCAGTATCCCTTTTCACAACTGATACCCTTAATCCTAATCCTAGATAAACCTAATCCCACACACTAGACTTGCACACGGCACTCCTAACTAACGAATATAAAAAGGAGGGCCTTCGCAAACAGAGCACAGTTTTTCAAAACTCCTTACGTAGAGCGAACCTCTGCCGGTCCGTTAATCGAATTCAGTAAAAGTCAGTTAAAAGTTATCGTCGGTCCGCGACCAGATCGCCGCATCAAATCGGCGCGATGAGCGATCCTAGTCGCCGCGAAAAGGTTACGAGTGAAGACATCCAACTGAGGTCACTTCGGGGTCCAATCCATCACACGACCTCCACCAAGATCGGACCACCAATCATTGCGAAGTCCGGAAGCTGCTAAACAGCAGTAAGTTACTCTTTTTAAATTATTTACCTCGCGAATCTATAGATCACTCTCTAGCGAAACATTAAACCCTCTAAGTCTCTGGATTCTCAATCTTGTTTCCATAATTCTCCTATTATCCTTATCCTTCCACGTTCATCGATTTCTTCGATGAACTCTATACCCCTTATTTGGAAGTTCGCTTAATACGCGAGCTTCACTCTTTTATTTCCCTTCCCCTTGTTAAGCAGAGCCTGACATTAAATTATGACACTTAATTAATCGTGATCGACAACGCGCACGCCCTTCCCGTGCAGCCAGGCGGCTACGCGGCCTACGCTTAAGAGAAGCTCGTCGCTTATTAGATCAAGTATACCAGGAATTCCGCAATAATTTAGTTAATAATCACAATAACGATAACTTAGATCATGATAACGATAATGTAGCTAATAATCACAATAACGATCATCCAGTCGAGAATCCTCCTCCTCCTCGAACTCCCTCACCTGCCATTTCGGATGCCTTAACAGAACATATCTTTCCCGACATCCCGCCCTTCACTCCAGATTCCTCTATTCAATCAGTCCCTCCATCTCCTCGTCCTGTCTCTCCCGCTGATTCTTCATCAAGCTTGGAGCTCCTGTACGAACTTCCTCCTCCTCGTCCTCGCTACCATTTTCACCATGGAAATCCCCAGTCATTAGCCTCTCTTTTTTCCCAATTTC